CTCATTGAAATTTTAACCCTTTCAGGGCAAAAAAGGAGGCTTAGGGACTGGCACCCGTGAATCATATCACAGAGATGGTTTGAAGGGCAAATGAGGCAGTCATGTTAAGGGCAGTTGGAGCAAGAGTCTTGTATAAATCCACTATGGCTCAACTATCTGAGGCAAGAAGAGAGAAAACCGTGGGATTGCGGCCGCTCCTGGGCCGAATGGAAAACAGAATGGAGAAGGGAGCGCTGAACTCTCACCTGACAAAACCACGATGGCAATGACAGCAGTGGTCAAGAGTATAAAGAGGAATTTACGTGTACAGTGTTTCCAGGGCTTGGCCCAACGCTGAGTACCTGAAAGAGAGAAAGCTGTCAGTTCTCCTGGAGGAGGAGGATGTGAGGACCTAGAGTTATTAATACCAGCATGTCAGCTGTCAGATAGGGCATTTAGTTAAATGGCTCCTGCTTTCTCTCCCTTCTGCTCATTGTTCCGGTCCAGGCTCTCTGGCGTTGTGATCCCGAGTATCCCAGGGCTGACTGGCTCCCAACTAACAGGGGAGGGGAATGTGTCTCATTCTGCAGTTTCTTCCCTGCCTGTGCCCCCTACCCAGGATATCAGACTCTCTCTCAGACGTCGAACCCACAAACCTAGTGGCCCTACATTAAGTCAGGATGCTCTGAGACAAGCCATGGTGGGGGGGGGGGGCGGGGAAGATGCTGGAAATTTGACTCCCTTAGGAGGAGAAGCAGTATACATTTGGTACTAGTGTCCCTAATGAGTAGAGAAATTGCTACAGGATGGAAAATGTTCCCATTCCATATTACAGGGACTGCAGCCATTACAGTATGATAGACGATGTTGATTTACACCTAGCCTGCATTAGAAGGCATTTACACAACAGACCAGAAACACCAGTGCCAAATAGAGAGAGAAAACAACCTCTCTCATCTCCTACTTGAGATTCCCTTGTTTCTGCATCTCAGGATTGTACTAGCCCTTTTGGCCACAGCGTTGCATGGCGAGCTCACGTTCAGCTGTTTATCCACCATGACCTCCAAATCTTTTTCAGAGTCCCTGCTTCCCAGGAGAGCTTCCCCCATCCAGTAAGCATGGCCTGGGCTCCTTGTTCCCAGATGTACATGCTGACACTGTGCTGTGTTCAAACACCTACTGTTTGCTTGCCCCCAGCTTACGAAGCGCTCCAGATCTCTCTGAAGGAAGAGGGCAGGTCACTGATTCAGAGCGATCTAGATCACTTGGTAAACAAGGGGAACAAATAATTAATAACGGGCTCTTCAGTCTCGCAGCGAAAGGTACAACACGATCCAAGGGCTGGGAGTTGACGGTAGACAAAGTCAGGCTGGAAAGAAGGTGTACATTTTTACTAGTGAGAGTAATTAACCATGGGAACAATTTACCAAGGGTCATGGCGGTTTCTCCATCACTGGCCATTTTTAATTCAAGACTGAACGTTTTTCTAACAGATCTGCTCTAGATATTATTTCAGGGAAGTTCTCAGGCCTATGCTATACAGGCGGTCAGACTAAATGATCACAATGATCTCTTCTGGCCTTCGAATCTATGAACCTGTAAATTCCTCCTCTACAGCACCTTCAACACAAGGCACCTAGGTTGCTCTATAGACAGCCATGCATTCAAGGGAGGTGTCAGTTTAAAAAATGCCACCATTTGTCCAAAAATTTTCTGAAGAGACTAGTGCTGCAAGCCAGACCTAAGATTCTTGTGAGCGAAAGACACACGCCTCACAAGCGGGGCTGGCTGGCTCGCCCAGCGGTGTGGGTACGAACCTGCGTTCCACTATTGCGCGCACCCAACCCTGCCAACTTTGCCGCTGATGTAGCCCAAGTTCACGTGGCCTAGCTTGTGTTCAGACAGCCTGAGAAGCTGCCCCACAATTCCTGGGGTCTGCATGTTCCTGTCCTTCTGTCTCCCATCTTCCCACTTGTCTCCCATGAGCTGGAAGCAACCTGCTGGCTCAAATACAGTCGCCCTGGGTTTAACCCTTCGTTGCCACACAGACGACTTGGTTTGAAACACAGCTCCGCCTACTTTGTTAAAAAAAGCAGAGAAGATGCCTATCAACCAGCGTGTCGCAGGATGGACAGAGACGTTCTCCCATAATACGCCACTAACCAAGCCCTAGAACAGCTCTAGCTAGCTGGGCACTAGGAACCCTGGGACGCGCCCCCAGAAGCCACTGTGTCTGACCGGCGTCAGTGCATCCCCAGTATGGATGCAGCTGCCAGGATATACTGCAGGTATGAGGTCTGCATACCGATGCAGTACGGATGCTCTCAGGCGAGTTGAAAAGCACAGGCTTGCATGCCCGAATACACAGACCCGGGTACCCTATGCAGTAGAGACATCCCCTAAGTGAACCAAATTCCTCTTTTGTATGTGCAAATGCAGAATACTGGGCTCGCAATGCCTTGGGTGGATTATCCACACCCACCTCCGTCTTTGGCCGTAAAGAGGGAAAGGAGAGGGCACCAGGGCCAAATCATCATGTGCAGGTGCAATATATGCTCCAGCCCAGAAACGTACGTGAGCCTCCTTAATAACCCACAACATTCCCACAGCTGTCCATAGAGTTGCAGGTACAAAATGAGGTAACAACACATAGGAGAGGGGTTTGGGGTGATCAGATACGCCTGACTGCACATGCAACTGCTGCATCCTCTTTTGAAAGGGCAACCTCAGTATTTAAACAAGGTTACGTCTCTCCTGTGTTATGGAGAGCGTGGACAGAGGGGGGAAAAATGCAGGTTAACCATGCCGTAAAGCCTCTTCTAATCCTGCCACACATCTAGGCTAAAACATGTTTGTCCTGTCCACTGTCAAGAAGAGTTTTGTTATAACACAGAAGAGCCACAACCACGTTTCAGATCTGTGTCTAAACATGGCTATTCTTCCAGTGTTGATGGGTCTTACATTTGTCTCTCCCTCTACCCTGTACCCGAGCAGCGAGGCTCTGGTTACCTGGTTTTCCTGCCCTCTCTTGATCCCCATTGTTATTAAGAGGGTCCTCAGCAGAATTCTCAGGCTCTTGTCTCTGAGTGAGACGCATGGTCTATGAACACTGGGCTCTGCTCAACTCTCTCTCAGGCTGAAGCTGTGTTTAGAAGAGGAACCGCCGTCATTTGAAGACCTGAAATCCAAGATTTAAGAGTCAGGAAAATACAGTGAGGAGATTTATATACACACAGACCATGAAAAAATGGGTGTTTATCATACACATTGTAAGGAGAGTGATCACGTAAGATGAGCTATTACCAGCAGGAGAGTGGGGTTGGGGGAGAGAAAACCTTTTGAAGTATAATCAAGGTGGGCCATTTCCAGCACATTTCCAGGAGTTAACAAGAACGTCTGAGGAATGGGGGGGGGGGGGGGGGGGGGGATAAACAAGGGGAAATAGTTTTACTTTGTATAATGACTCAACCACTCCCAGTCTCTATTCAAGCCTAAGTTAATTGCACTAGTGTAGCTACATTTGCAAACCCCTAAGAAACCTGCTGCACTGGTGCAATTTACACCACTATCTTACCAGGGAAAGGCCTTGTCCACATTCAGCATCACACAATACAAATTATTACAATTCAGTTAAACCCATGGTGCTTTAAAGTCAAACAGCTGCCCACAAAAGGCTCTGCACTGGTTTATTTGATGGCTGGTCCACGATTTAGGCTCTTAGGCTATTGTTATACAAGTAATCAGAGCTGGTTGAAAACTTTCTGACAGAAGAAGTTTCCATCAGATAATAATGATTTGTCAAAATCAAAATGTGCTGCAGGACCATTTTGTTTAGGAAAAGAACCAAAATTTTGTTTAGGAAAAAAAATCAAAATGATTCTTGGGGATGAGGTCATGTTTTTGTTTCAATTTTTAATTTTGAAATAATGTTTTTGTTTCAAAATTTCAGATTTTATAGTACATAAATTACACGACAAATTAAAGTTGAAACTGAAACATTTCTATTACACTTGTTAACCATCACTCATACAAGGGAGGCACGTGCCACCCGCCCTATGCTGATGGAGACAGGTGTCTCACAAACAGGGAGACTCTCCCAAGCTGTCTTCTCCTTGTATTATCATTGACCAGCATCCCACTGTGCTAGGCGCTGTGCAAACACAGAAGAAAGAAGACAGCCCCTGCCGCAAAGAGTTTGCAATCTACGCCTTGGGGTATGTCTACCGTTGAAACTCTACAGATGTGCGGCTGCAGCCCTGTAGCAGAGACCCCTCCTCAGTGCAGCGTAGAGATTTCCTATTGCGACGGAAGGGGCTCTTCTGTCTCTGTAGTAAATCCACCTCTCCCAGGGGTGGCCGCTGGGTCGACAGAAGAATTCTTCCATCCACCTAGCGAGCTTCGGGTCGGCTTCACGACACCGCACGGGGCTCGACATTTTGCACAGCCTGGAGCGCCGCAGCGAAGCGGACCTAACTCTGTCATGGGGACCAGGGCCTGGGTCGACCCCGGAGAGTGATATTGGCATAGCTACGTCGACAAGAAGCGTGGGGGGGAACCCCCCAAACATCCCAGACCGACATAGCGACGCCAACGTTTAACACGCGGCGTAGACGCTACGTCGACAGAAGAACGCTTCTCACGCGGCTAACGTCGTTTTGGGGGACTCCTCCGCTGAGGCCTATTCGCAGCAAACCCCCCCCCCCAGCTTAGACTCTTCCATTAGCAGCCCCCCAATGACCCTCTCCACTTAGGATTCCCCCATTGACCCCCCCCATAGCAGCCCCTCCCCCTTGGGGTGTCCCCCCTTTTAACCTCCTCCAATTCAGAGTCCCCCCATGAGGAGCCCCCCCATGAGCAGCTCCCGCACTTGATCCCCCCCCCTTTACGGGGCGCCCCCAAGCCGATTCGAAGGGGCAGTGGGGGGGGGGGAAAGGACCTTCCCCCGCGCATGCGCGGTGGCGGTTCCGCTTGGCGGGCGAGCGGCGTGTCCCCTCCGGCTCGCCGTACTAGAGGCATTTTTTTTTTTTTTTTACTGTCGAGTGTCGCCGCCGCCATTTTACCCAGAGTTTCCTTCGTGGCCGAGGTGAGGATCCATGGGGGGGGGGGGGGGGGTCTCCGGCTGCGCAACCCCCCCCACTCCCCGATTGCGTGTTGTCGGACGAGCCCCGCCCCCCCCCCACCATCAGCATCCTGCCGCCTCCCCCGGCTGTGCCCCACCGTTAGCGTGACCCCCCCCCACTCCCAGCGGACGGGGTGTCCCTGCCCCCCGAAAGCTCGCGCGCACCCCCGTGTTAAGAGCCCCCCCCCCCCGGATCCGGGCGGGGCGCCTCGGAGCCACCCTTGGGCACAGCCCCCCCCCCCCCCCCGTGGCGCTCCCCCCATCAGGGTGCAGCCTGCGCAGCGCCCCCCTCTCACCTCCCGAGTCAGAGCCAGCGGCGGGGGGTGGATCCCAGGGTGGCCCCCTCCCGGTCCTGGACCCAGGGGCGGCCCCGTCTCTGGAGGGTCAAAATAACTTCAGGCGCCCCCCCCCGGCAGGCGCTGGCTGGGCGCGTTGTGTGGGGCTGGCTCCCCCCTGCTCGCCGGCCTGACGCGCGCTGGCCCCAGCCCGGGATGCTCCTCCAGCCCTGGGCTGATGCCTGCTGTGGCTTCCGGCGCCTGGTTCACCCTAAGACCACAAAAAAACCAAAACAAAACAAAACCCCAACAAAAACGAAACACGTACACACCCACAACAGCTTTTTGTTTAACAGTTTGACTCTGTCCCGCCAAGTGAACAGCGCAGGATTTGGTTCCCCCGGGGGGGGGGGGGGTCAAGGGAGGTTATTCTTTAACACAGGTTTCAGAGGAACAGCCGTGTTAGTCTGTATTCGCAAAAAGAAAAGGAGGACTTGTGGCACCTTAGAGACTAACCAATTTATTTGAGCATGAGCTTTCGTGAGCTACAGCTCACTTCATCGGATGCATGCTGTGGAAAATACAGACCATGTTTTATACGCACAAACCATGAAAAAATGGGTGTTTATCACTACAAAAAGAAAAGGAGGACTTGTGGCACCTTAGAGACTAACCAATTTATTTCAGCATGAGCTTTCGTGAGCTACAGCTCACTTCATCAGATGCATAATAACATCAGCCACACTATCAGAGGCTCGTTCACCTGCACATCCACCAATGTGATATATGCCATCATGTGCCAGCAATGCCCCTCTGCCATGTACATTGGTCAAACTGGACAGTCTCTACGTAAAAGAATAAATGGACACAAATCAGATGTCAAGAATTATAACATTCATAAACCAGTCGGAGAACACTTCAATCTCTCTGGTCACGCAATCACAGACATGAAGGTCGCTATCTTAAAACAAAAAAACTTCAAATCCAGACTCCAGCGAGAAACTGCTGAATTGGAATTCATTTGCAAATTGGATACTATTAATTTAGGCTTAAATAGAGACTGGGAGTGGCTAAGTCATTATGCAAGGTAGCCTATTTCCTCTTGTTTTTTCCTACACCCCCCCCCCCCAGATGTTCTGGTTTAACTTGGATTTAAACTTGGAGAGTGGTCAGTTTAGATGAGCTATTACCAGCAGGAGAGTGAGTTTGTGTGTGTATGGGGGTGGGGGGGATGTGAGAAAACCTGGATTTATGCAGGAAATAGCCCAACTTAATTATGTAAAGAGTTGTCACTTTGGATGGGCTAGCACCAGCAGGAGAGTGAATTTGTGTGGGGGGGTGGAGGGTGAGAAAACCTGGATTTGTGCTGGAAATGGCCCACCTGTTGATCACTTTAGATAAGCTATTACCAGCAGGACAGTGGGGTGGGAGGAGGTATTGTTTCATATTCTCTGTGTGTATATAAAGTCTGCTGCAGTTTCCACGGTATACATGTGATGAAGTGAGCTGTAGCTCACGAAAGCTCATGCTCAAATAAATTGGTTAGTCTCTAAGGTGCCACAAGTACTCCTTTTCTTTTTGCGAATACAGACTAACACGGCTGTTCCTCTGAAACCTATCACTACAAAAGGTTTTCTCTCGCCCCACCCCACTCTCCTGCTTGTAATAGCTTACGTAAAGTGATCACTCTCCTTACAATGTGTATGAGAATCAAGGTGGGCCATTTCCAGCACAAATCCAGGTTTTCTCCCTCCCCCCCAACCCGCTCTCCTGTTGGTAATAGCTTATCTAAAGTGATCACTCTCCTTACAATGTTCAGAGTAGCAGCCGTGTTAGTCTGTATTCACAAAAAGGAAAGGAGTACTTGTGGCACCTTAGAGACTAACCAATTTATTTGAGCATCAGCTTTCGTGAGCTACAGCTCACTTCATCGGATGCATCACTCTCCTTACAATGTATCACTTTAGATAAGCAATTACCAACAGGAGAGTGGGTTTGTGTGGTGGTGGGCGGGGGGGGAGAGAAAACCTGGATTTGTGCTGGAAATGGCCCAACTTGATTATCATACACATTGTAAGGAGAGTGATCACTTTAGATAAGCTATTACCAGCAGGAGAGTGGGGTGGGGGGAGGTATTTTTTCATGCTTTGTGTGTATAAAAAGATCTACACTTTCCACAGGATGCATCCGATGAAATGAGCTGTAGCTTACGAAAGCTTATGCTCAAATAAACTGGTTAGTCTCTAAGGTGCCACAAGTCCTCCTTTTCTTTTTGCGAATACAGACGAACACGGCTGCTACTCTGAAAGGGGAAGTAGGTTACCTTGTGTAATGACTTAGCACAGTCATTTAACACAGCGGCTCTCAACCTTTCCAGACTACCGTGCCCCCCTTTCCGGAGGCTGATTTGTCTTGCGTTTCCCTCCCCCCCCTTCCATAAGTTTCACCTCGCTGTAAAACGGCTTGCTTACCGAATCAGACATAAAAACGCTGAAGTGATACTGCCCCCCCCCTTACTCAACAATTGCTGCCTTTTTCGTTTTTACCGGAAGATTATAAAAAATCGATTGGCAGAGAAGTATTGTCCGTTTTAGTGCATAGAGCTGTATAAACAAGTCGTTGTCTGTCTGAAATTTTAGTTGGTACTGACTCCACTCGTGTTTTTATGTAGCCTGTTGTAAAACTAGGCAAATAGCTAGATGAGTGGGTGTGCCCCCTGGAAGATCTCTGCGTACCCCCAGGGGTACACGCACCTTGGCTTGAGAACCACTGCTTTAACACAGCTGTGCTGGGTCGTGAATGAAGATTTACTGTGTATATAATGACGGCACACAGAGATAGAATCATAGAACTGGAAGGGACCGCGAGAGGTCATCTAGTCCAGTTCCCTGCACTCAAGGCAGGACTAAGTATTCAGCCCTGACAAGTGTTTGTCCAACCTTCTCTTAAAAATCCCCAATGATGGAGATTCCACAAGCTCCCTAGGCAATTTATTCCAGTGCTTAACCACTCAGACAGGAAGTTTTCCCTGATGTCCAACCTAAACCTCCCTTGCTGCAATTTAGGCTCATTGCTTCTTGTCCTGTCAGAGGTTAAGAAGAACAATTTTTCTCCCTCCTCTTGTAACAACCTGTTATGTACTTGAAAACAGTTGTCATGTCCCCTCTCAGTCTTCTCTTCTCCAGACTAAACAAACCCAATTTTTTCAATCTTCCCTCATAGGTCACGTTTTCTGGACCTTTAATAATTTTTGTTGCTTTTCTCTGGACTTTCTCCAATTTGTCCACATCTTTCCTGAAATGTGGTGCCCAGAACTGGACACAATACTCCAGTTGAGGCCTAATCAGCACAGAGTAGAGTGGAAGAATTACTTCTTGTGTCTTGCTTACAACAATCCTGCTAATACGTCACAGAATGATGTTTGCTTTTTTTGCAACAGTGTTACACTGTTGACTCCTATTTAGTTTGTGGTCCCCATGACCCCCAGATCCCTTTATGCAGTACTCCTTCCTAGGCAGTCATTTCCCATTTTGTATGTGTGCAACTGATTGTTCCTTCCTAAGTGGAGTACTTTGCATTTGTCCTTCTTGAATTTCATCCCATTTACTTCAGACCGTTTCTCCAGTTTGTCCAGGTCATTTTGAATTTTAATCCTATCCTCCAAAGCACTTACAGCCCCTCCCAGCGTGGTATCATCCGCAAACTTTATAAGTGTACTCTCTATGCCATTATCTAAATCATTGATGAAGATATTGAACAGAACCGATCCCTGCGGGACCCCGCTCATTATGCCCTTCCAGCATGACTGTGAACCACTAATAATTACTCTCTGGGAACGGTTTTCCAACCAGTTATGCACCCACCTTATAGTAGCTCCAGCTAGGTTGTATTTCCCTAGTTTGTTAACGAGAAGGTCATGCGAGACAGTATCAAAAGCCTTACTAAAGTCAAGATATACCACATCTACTGCTTCCCCCATCCACAAGGCTTGTTACCCTGTCAAAGAAAGCTATCGGGTTGGTTTGACACAATTTGTCCTTGACAAATCCAAGCTGACTGTTATTTATCACCTTATTATCTTCCTAGATGTTTGCAAATTAATTGCTTAATTATTTGCTCCATTATCTTTCTGGGTACAGAAGTTAAGCTGACTGGTATGTAATTCCCCGGGTTGTCATTATTTCCATTTTTATAGGTGGGCATTATATTTGCCCTTTCCCAGTCTTCTGGAATGTCTCCCGTCTTCCATGACTTTTCAAAGATAATTGCTAATGGCTCAGATATCTCCTCAGTCACCACCTGGAGTATTCTAGGATGTATTTTATAAGGCCCTGGTGATTTGAAGACACCTAACCTGTCTAAGAGTAACAGCCATGTTAGTCTGTATTCGCAAAAAGAAAAGGAGGACTTGTGGCACCTTAGAGACTAACCAATTTATTTGAGCATAAGCTTTCGTGAGCTACAGCTCACTTCATCGGATGCATACTGTGGAAAGTGTAGAAGATCTTTTTATATACACACAAAGCATGAAAAAATACCTCCCCCCACCCCACTCTCCTGCTGATAATAGCTTATCTAAAGTGATCACTCTCCTTACAATGTGTATGATAATCCGCTGGAAATGGCCCAACTTGATTATCATACGCATTGTAAGGAGAGTGATCACTTTAGATAAGCTATTGCCAGCAGGAGAGTGGGGTGGGGGGAGGTATTTTTTCACGCTTTGTGTGTATAAAAGATCTTCTACACTTTCCACAGTATGCATCCGATGAAGTGAGCTGTAGCTCACGAAAGCTTATGCTCAAATAAACTGGTTAGTCTCTAAGGTGCCACAAGTCCTCCTTTTCTTTTTGCTAACCTAAGTAATTTTTGACTTGTTCTTTTCCTATTTTAGACTCCGATCCTACCTCATTTTCACTGGCATTTACTACGTTAGATGTCCAGTCGCCACCAACCTTCTTGGTGAAAACTGAAACAGGGAAGTAATTAAGCACCTCTGCCATTTCCACATTTTATGTTATTGTCTTGCCTCCCTCATTGAGTAACGGGCCTACTCTGTCCTTGGTCTTCCTCTTGCTTCTAACGTATTTGTAGAATGTTTTCTTGTTACCCTTTATGTTTCTAGCTAGTTTGATCTTGTTTTGTGCCTTGGGTTTTCTAATTTTGCCCCTACATACTTGTGTTATTTGTTTATATTAATCCTTTGTAATTTGACCAAGATTCCACTTTTTGTAGGACTCTTTTTTGAGTTTTAGATCATTGAAGATCTCCTGGTTAAGCCAGGGTGGTCTCTTGCCAGACTTCCTCTCTTTCCTACGCAGTGGGATAGTTTGCTCTTGTGTCCTTAATAATGTCTCTTTGAAAAATTGCTAACTGTCTTCAATTGTTTTTCCCCTTAGACTTGCTTCCTATGGGATTTCACCTAACAACTCCCTGAGTTTGCTAAAGTCTGTCTTCTTGAAATCCATTGTCTTTATTGTGCTATTCTCCCTCCTACCATTCCTTAGAATCAGGAACTCAACCATTTCATGATCACTTTCACCCAAGTTGCCTTCCACTGTCAAATTCTCAGCCAGTTCCGCCCTATTTGTCAAAATCAAATCTAGAACAGCCCACCCCCTTAGTAGCTTTCTCCTCCTTCTGAAATAAAAAATTGTCTCCAATACATTCCAAGGACTTGTTGGATAATCTGTGCCCTGCTGTGTTGTTTTCCCCACAGATGTCTGGGGAGTTGAAGTCCCCCATCACCACCAAGTCCTGGGCTTTGGATGATTTTGTTAGTTGTTTAAAAAAAGCCTCACCCATCTCTTCTTCCTGGTTAGGTGGTCTGCAGTAGACCCCCTACCATGACATCACCCTTGGTTTTTACCCCTTTTATCCTTACCCAGAGACTTTCAACAAGCCTGTGTCTTATTTCCATCTCAAGCTCCGTCCGAGTGTATACATTTTTAATACATAAGGCAACACCTTTCCCCCTGCCTGTCCTTCCTGAGCAAGCTGTACCCTTCTATACCAATATTCTAGTCACGCATATTATCCCACCAGGTCTCCATGATGCCAACTATGACATAGTTGTGTTTATTTACTAGCATTTTGAGTTCTTCCTGCTTATTCCCCATACTTCTCGCATTAGTATACAGACATCTAAGATACTGATTTGATCCCCCCCCCTTTATTTCTGCTATAACAGCCCATGCTCCCCCCCAGATTCTGACCCTTCTCCCAGGTCTCCATGTTTTTGACTTATTTGTGGGCTTTGGTCACCTGCCCCCGTCAAACGTAGTTGAAAGCCCTCCTCACCAGGTTAGCCAGTCTGTAGCCAAATAGGCTCTTCCCCTTCCTTGATAGGTAGACCCCATCTCTGCTTAGCAGTCCTTCTTCCTGGAACAGGATCCCATGGTCAAGGAAGCCGAAGTCCTCCTGTCAACACCATCCTCACAGCCAGATATTCACCTCCAGGGTGCATCTGTCTCTGCCAAGGCCCCTACCCTTGACTGGAAGGACTGAAGAGAACACCACCTGCGCTCCCAACTCGCTCATCCTTATTCCCAGAGCCCTGTTGTCACTTCTGATCTGCTGAGGGTCGTACCTCAGATACCCCAACTGAGCTCGGGGTCTCCCTTGTGCTGTGCAATTTACAAATACCTAGTGGCTATTAAAGTTCAAAAACAATTTAGTTAGTGCAGAGCTGAAGCTATCGGCTGCCTTCCCAGAACATCAAGTTCTGCAGAACTCCGACTTGTGAAAACCAAGAAAGGCAGCATTAAGGTACACGTTTGAGTCCACGGGCGCTTGTGACATGCCCTTTGTTGTAAACCATACGCGCCCACTCTGTGGGTGCTCCAGTCCTGGAGCACCCGTGGAGAAAAATTAGCAGGTGCTCAGCATCCACCGACAGTCAGGCTCCTCCTCCCAGCGCCTTTTGCCCAACCACGGTCCCTGCTGATCACCTCCTCCCCCTCCCGCCCACCGCAAACAGCTGTTTTGCAGCATTCAGGAGGCTCCGGGAGGGAGGGAGAGGCGGGAAGAGGCAGAGCGGGGACAGGGGCTTGGTAGAAGGGGTGGAGTGGGAGCAGGGCCTGAGGGGGAGGGTCGAGCACCCCCTGGCTAGAGGGGAAGTGGGCGCCTATGTTGTAAATGATCAACATTTCTCACTTAGAAGACAGCACAGTCATTTCAATCTTGGTTTACACCACAAAAGCACCACTAAAAAAGATGAATCACTTCCAGTCAGCCGATTCACAAATCACTAACATGTAGGAAGTCAAAGGGACTCATTTCATAACCAGCCTCTAGTTTGTAAAGAGCATGGAACAGCATGTTTTTTTTAAATTGTGTTAGCTAACATGGTAAAATCCTATGTGGGCAGTTTGTGGTTTTCACACACATTAACAGCCCTGGGGGAAATGTGTGACCAGTTAATGCGTGACAACAACTGTCTTGTCCACACTCGCATTTTACCAAACGTTAGCCAACATGGTGGTAAACCCTTTTTTCCTGGTGAAGCCAAGGCCATGGTGTGACTTAGAAATGTAGGGCTGAAAGTGACCTTGAGACGTCACCTAGTCCATTCCCCCAGCCTGAGGCAGGACCAGGTAAACCTAGACCATCCCTGATAGGTGTTTATCCAGCCTGGTCTTAAAAACCTCCAATGATGGGGATTCCACAACCTCCTTTGGTAACCTGTTCCAGAGCTTAACTACCCTTAGAATTAGAAAATTGCTTTTAATATCCAATCTAAATCTCCCTTGCTGCCGAGTAAGCCGATTCCTTCTTGTCCTACCTTCACTGGACATGGAGAACAGTTGATCACCGTCCTCTTTATAACAAACCTTAACATATTTGCAAACTTCTTCTTTTCTCAAGACTACACGTGCCTAGTTTTCTTAACCTTTCCTCAATGGTCAGGTTCTACTTGCTCAGGACCCTCCAACAAAGGACTCTCTTCCCAACCCCCAGCCACCTCCCCATCGTCAGCTGGGACAGAGAGGGAATCCAGACGTGAGCAGCGCTCTGTGCTGGGGGGAAAGGAAACCCCAGAAAGAGGAATGAGAAGCGGGGGGAGAAGGAGAAGTTTGTGGTTCCAAATGAACTGAAGGACAAATGTTTGTTTTCATGTTTTTTAAACACGTGGTGTTAGTAAGTAAAACCACGAAGTGTGGATTCATTTAAACACTTGGTGTTAGTAAAACCACTAGGTGTGGATTCATTCAAACAAAATCTCGCTGTTGCTCTCTCTCTATCTCTCACACACACACACAAACTCTCTCAAATCAACAAACTGAAGGGAAAATGGAAGGTGGGTGGGATGCTGCTTTGGTTCGATAAATGGCTTGAAATACAACTGAGACCTCCAGGCCCCTTGTGCCAAATGGAAAGGGGAATGTATTATGTCTTGCAAAAGGATTTGTGTAGAGTTTGGATTTGGTTGCTTTCTAAAATCTTGTATGATTACGACATTTATCCCCCAAGGTCATTTGCCTTCTTGAAGCTTATGTGGGCGTTTTGTTTTTACTGCTTAAGTTCCGACCCTGCAGTGCTTCAGCGGACCCTCGTGCCTGAAATCAGCAAGCTACTGTGCGCTCACTGAAATCAGCAAACTTCTGTGTGCCTACAAAGAACTCATTGGAGGATTGGAGTGGCAGGTGTTTAAAGGCTGATCTTGCGTTCAGATGACAAACCAAACAAGTTTTTTTGATTGAGAAAAATTTTAGTACAGGGGACTGTTCTCTCGATTTCCTTCCCCCCCCCTTTTTTTTTTTTTTACTGTGCTCCTTGTAAGGGTGATAAAGAATGAGTCATCCAGGCTACTCTGAAACCACAAACCACATGCAAATGTTGTTTCAATGCAAGATTGCGAAGAGTATAAAGTCAACATGATAGCCTTCCTCCACACATCTGAAAAAATCACTTTTAAACGTGGTTGTGGCCCAAGTGTAGTGTAACATGCTGTTTTTTCTTTCCAGTGTGGAGAGAAGAAAATTATGTTGAGGAAGATAAATTATTTCTCTAAGCCAGCATTTCCCAAATGCAGCCACTATGGCCGCATGCGGCCACCAAGGGCTTTTCTTGCGGCCACAGCCTCCTGAGGGGAGAGTAAAGCAGCAGCCCCTCTCCAGCAGTGGTTGGGCCCTTGCCACCTCTGGAGTCAGGAAAGCTAGAGGAGCAGACAGTCGGTGTGAATTCTCCATCTTCCACGGAGTGGTGGGGTTGGGCTTCAGCCGTGGGGTGGTGGATGACAGGCTCCACCCATGGGGCTTTGGGCTCCATTCCCTGGCTGTGAGGTGACTGGCTCTGGCCCCGAGCTCACCCTCCCCAATCACCCCTGGATCCTGCTGCCTCCCCCAGGGCCCCATCGCCCCACTGCCTCCGTAACTACTTCCCCATCCAGGTCTTAATTTGTCTCTGGGCTTGCCGGGACTGAGTAAGTCTGCTGTGAAAAGTGATATTTGTATGTTTGTTAATATCACTTTTCACAACAGACTTACTAGCTAGCAAGTCTTTTAAAAAAGCAACCCAAAAAAAGCAAAAGAAACAACAAGAAAAAAGACAAGACCGTACAAAGCTCCTCGTGTTTCTATTTTGTTTAGGTCCAGCAAAGAGTAGAGACAACTGTACGTTTTTTATTACTGAGTCTGCAAAAAAACCCCTACATAAATAAATTACAATGATTTGGACATGTATATGTGGATATTTATTTGTTTTTCTTAAAGTTAAGTAAGTATTTTAGGAAAAATTGTCAGAGCAGCCACCAGCAAGAGTTAGTGGCCGCACTCCGAGGCCACAAAAACATTTCTTGGGAGAACCCCTGCTTTAAGCCCTTGTTTACACTGGAGGACTGAACAGAGACAAACCCAGCTGCAGCCCCAGGCCAGAACTTGCTCAATGTTTAAGCCTGTACCTGTGATCCCTCTTGTGTCTGCATCGTTCCCAGCCCCGCTCCTGCTTTGTTGCAGTCCTGCTCCGGTACACTTCAGCCCTGCTCCCCTGCTTGGTTCCTGAACCTAGCTCTGACCCTTGGCGCTGACTCCAGCTCCGACCACTAGGGATGACGTGACAATGCCATGGTCTGTGACAAAAAGAAGGAGACAGGAATAGATGAGAGAGAACACAGTGAACGAGAAGGCAGCCATCCTGCTGGAACATGACATGAAGGGACATCAGAGGGGGCAATCCCTAAACAAAAACAAAACAACAACAAAAAATAAATCCATTCACTCAGCTCTACTGTAGGATTCAACTGGCTCTTCCGCTCCCGGACTTGTGTGTCTGTGAGGGCGCGGCCAACAAATCTCTCTTGGAATTTATCTAAACAAACAAAGCGGCCTCTAAAACTGTTGGATTTACATAGCAGACAGGTAGGTGACATTTTAGGACATAGGCTTTTGTTACAACATTCTATCCAGGTTTTTATCCCTTGGGATCACTGATCTTGCAGAGCCTTCCAGAAGTGATATCTGGCGCCAAACGGATAAATAGAAAAGCTATAGAAAATATATGAAAATAGAAAAGGACGGAAGAACCCAATGCACAGCTACAGACTAGGGACCGAATGGCTAGGCAGCAGTTCTGCGGAAAAGGACCTAGGGGTGACAGTGGACGAGAAGCTGGATATGAGTCAGCAGTGTGCCCTTGTTGCCAAGAAGGCCAATGGCATTTTGGGATGTATAAGTAGGGGCATAGCGAGCAGATCGAGGGACGTGATCGTTGCCCTCTATTCGACATTGGTGAGGCCTCATCTGGAGTACTGTGTCCAGTTTTGGGCCCCACACTTCAAGAAGGATGTGGATAAATTGGAGAGAGTCCAGCGAAGGGCAACAAAAATGATTAGGGGTCTGGAACACATGAGTTATGAGGAGAGGCTGAGGGAGCTGGGATTGTTTAGCCTGCAGAAGAGAAGAATGAGGGGGGATTTGATAGCTGCTTTCAACTACCTGAAAGGGGGTTCCAAAGAGGATGGCTCTAGACTGTTCTCAATGGTAGCAGATGACAGAACGAGGAGTAATGGTCTCAAGTTGCAGTGGGGGAGGTTTAGATTGGATATTAGGAAAAACTTTTTCACTAAGAGGGTGGTGAAACACTGGAATGTGTTACCTAGGGAGGTGGTAGAATCTCCTTCCTTAGAGGTTTTTAAGGTCAGGCTTGACAAAGCCCTGGCTGGGATGATTTAACTGGGAATTGGTCCTGCTTCGAGCAGGGGGTTGGACTAGATGACCTTCTGGGGTCCCTTCCAACCCTTATATTCTATGATTCTATTTTAGACTGTAGTTTCGCGCTTGCATTCTTCAGTGATGGTGGGGGACCCTAGCCTGGATGTATACCTTACGTGGCGTATTTTGCATAAGGTTTATCACGAGTTGTGCAATGGTGGTGACACGTTACATTTTTGTAAACAGGAAGCGTGTTTCTTTTCTACAGCGTCACAAGCAGCGCAAGGTATAAAGGTGCCCTGGCCCTGCTCTACGCATAAAAATTAGGTTGACCTAGTTACGTTGCTTGTATGTATAAAATTTCACACCCTGTTGTGGCGTGGTTAGGTCACTATGAACGCGGCGAGGTCCATATGGACGCTACTATGGACGCCATATGGACGCCACTATGGACGCGGCGAGGAAGAGTTCTCTTGTCGCTCTAGCTGCTCCTTCTCGGAGGCGAGGGCTACCTACATTGATGGAAAAACCCCTTGTGTCGTTGTAGGAAACGTCTGCAGTACCAAGGTACAGCTGCAGTGACAGCTGCGCTCCCGTAGCTGCTGCAGTGTAGATGTACAGTAAGTTTTAAGGGTACCATAGGCGCTGACTCTGGGGGGGCTCCCGGGCTGGAGCACCCCCGGAAAAAAAAAGTGGGTGCTCAACAGCCACCCACCGATCAGCTGTTTGGAGGTGGACGGGAGCTGGGAGTCCCTGGAGGGAGGTGGGAAGCCAGGGTGGGGCTAGGGATATAAAAGTCAGCCAGTTAACCGGTAAGCATCAGTCTTATCGGTAAGGTATTCTGGTTAACATTTAAACTCCACAGCGGGATTCCACTGCCAGCCCCACGCCATGGATCCAGGCTTCTGCTCCCCGCCCACACCAGGATCCCAGTTGCCAGCCCTGCCCCCCGGGGTTCCAGATGCCAGTCCTGCCCCCAGGGCTCTGCACAAGGTGGCAGCCGGTACCCTACGTGCAGGGCCAGCGATGGAGTCCCCAGCACGGGGCCAGCAGCGAGCGGAATACCCGGGGACGGGGCGGCAGAAGAGCCCTGGGCGTGGGGGGGGCAGCCGGGACCTCGGGCGCGGGGTCGGCAGCTGGGACCCTGTGCGGAGGGCAGCAGCAGAGCCCCAGGCACGCAGCGCGGCAGCCGGGATCCTGGGCACGCAGGGCAGCAGTGGAGCCTAGTGGTTAAACGTTTAACTGGGACAATTTTACTAGTTTAGACATTTACTTTTTTAAAACACTAGTTACATCCCTAGGCAGGGCACACTTGGGGAGAGGGCACAGTGGGGCCTAAGGGGAGGGGCAGAGGCAGAGCAATGGTGGGGCTTTGGGGGAAGGGGTGGAGTGGGCGCAGGGCCTTGGGGCTCCCACTGGAAAAGAAGAAAGTCGGCGCCTGTGAAGACTACACCAGGCCTTATTCTGGAATAAGAGTATCCGCAACAGAAATTATATCTGTATCAGTTTCACTCTACTGATATAACTGGGAAAAATTTTCTGTGTAGACAAGAGTCATGTTTACAGTACAGACCTTTGCCGGCATAGCTGTCGGTTTGGGGTGCATAGATGCAGTTATATGAGCCAAACGATGCTTTTACTGGTGCAGCTTGTTTTGCTCATGCGGGGTGGAATAAGCTAATAACTACAAAGCTGTGCTTTTAAGGGTCAGCTTTTTTCATTGGAAAATACCGGGGTGGATTTGATTTAAATCATGAGTCAGGAAGACTCGATTGAATCATGGTTTTCTACATAAAAGTGCATTCTTGTTGGTGGTTATAACCTTAATACATATTCTTCACAACTCAGAGGTAGATGTCGGTTTCATTTTTAGAAGGTACACATGATCCATTTTTAAACCGTGATTTATTCTGAATAAGAGTTTTACAGCTATCTCAGAAAAGGAATGATTGTTTGGTTATTTCATTTACCAAAGGTAATTGAAGCAGATATTTATGAAGTCATTGGGAGGTGAACTATCTCCAATTCAACAGGTTAATCATTAATTATTTGGAGGATTTTCTTGCCAGACTGTATTAGGAGGAGAACATCACCAGACAGACATTTCAATTGTTTTATTTAACTAAAACAACCACGTTATGTATTCTGGATTTTTTTCTTCAACAGCAAACATAATATTTTAACACAACAAGCATATGAATTTTTGAATTTAAACATTCAAGGTTTTTAAAATCAGGTTTGTTTTTGTTAAAATTGTTTTTAACTAAAATAGTTAAATGAAATATAATGCCTGTCTTACCCACAGGTAGAGGGACTTCATTAAAATATTCCCAAACTGGATCCCCAAATCTGATTTGGTGCCCCTGAAACATTTTGTGAATTTGTGTTGATTTCACTGAATTGTTTTAATTGGGTGGGTGGGGAACAAAAATTCCAAAACAAATCAGAAGTTTCATTTTGACAGTTTTTCAAAAGGACACACTTCGATTTGCTTAGTTTGAAACTTGTTTGTTTTGGGTTCAAAATCCCCCCCCCCTTTTTTTTTTAAGAACGTCAATCAAATGTTTAAAAAAAAGTTCAACGTTGAAACAAGCTGAGCTGAAACAAAAGGAATTACTTTGTGGAGGGTCTCTAGCCTGTGTTATGCAGGAGGTCAGAATAGATAATCACATTGGTCCCTTCTGCCCCTGGAATCTGTAATTCCCCCTACCCCGATTTTTTTAAGAATTGCCAGCAAATCAAAAAAATCTGTTATTTGCCGAGCTCTAGCTGTAGTCGGTTCCTGTGGTTTTCAGTCAGCGTTTCTAGTCCACTGTCGTTCAAGCTCAGAAAGTCTTTTTCAGTTTCAGCCTCTGTGGCTGGCAGTTCCCCTTCTCTTGTGCTCCCAAAAGGGCAAGGGGGTACATTTACCACTACAGTAGACTCCTGATTGGTGGCAGGTTGCTGTGTTGTTGAATGCTCTCTCACGGCTTTCTCGCTGGTTTACATGCGTGTCAACTCCTCCCCCAATTAGGGTGTTTTGCCCAGTTACCAGCGTGAGACTGAACATCGCTTGCACAATTCTCTCCCAGTGGAGCAGTTCCTCTAGATTCAGAGTTGATGCTGCAGGAAACAGGGTGAGTTATGATTCGTATATTAGGAGACTAGTGGGAGGGGGTCTGAGGGGAAGGCAGGGAATGGAGTGCAGAGGGGTGAAAAGAAGAGTTCTGAGAGGGAAATGCAGGGGAGGGAGGGTAACGAGGTGGGCAAGTTGGTGTAGCATCCAAAGAAGAGCTGGGTGAGAGGAAGTTTTGGGTGGGGGACAGTTAGACAGCTGTAGATTTTGGGGGTAATTTTGTATAGTCAAAAATCCAGTTTCTATGGGGGAAAAAGTTATGATGGAAAATATTCGACTGGCCTTATCAATTTCATGTAACGATCCAGAACATTCTGGTGCGTTCTTGCTTGGCAAGGGAGACATAGCTGCGTGTAACGCTGACATGCAGTGGAGATTTCCAGCATTGCAACCCGGTGATAGGGAAATGTTGGTAAACTGGTAAGCTTAGTACTAACGAGCACCCGAGGAGAAAACACTGGGTTGGGAAGAAAGAGTTCAGCCTGAGAGGGACGGTGCACTGTGGCCTAGCGAGCAGTGAACTAGACTGGAATTTGCAAGACCTGGGTTCTATTCCGGGCTCTGCTGCGTGACCACAGGTCAGTCACTTCTCTCAGTGCCTTAGTGTTCCCCCCTCTGTACAATGGCAGTAGTGAAACCAAAGTGCTTGGAGATCTTCTTAAGGTAAGAGCCAGGTATTACAAGATGAAGACTAGTCTTGTGGCTAAGACTGGGACTCAAAAGACCTGGGGTTCAATTCTTGACTCTGCCATAAACTCCAGGTGTGCCGTTGGACCAATCAGGTAGAGCAAAATTTTTAAAAATGACACTGGCACCAGGAGCAAGAGATTTTGAAAAGTATTTAGACACCTACAAATGCAGATAGGTGCCTAGTGGTATTTTCAAAAGCGGGTTAGGCCCCTAACTTTTGTTTAACTTGAGCTTCCATTTTCCAACCTCTTACTAACTCCCACTGAAATCAATATGAGTTAAGCACCTAAATACCTTTGAAGATCTGGACCTCAAAGAACAACCCAGATGTCTGTCCTCTCACTGCCCAAAACACACTTTTTCTTCCCAAATACAGATTTTTGGGGTAAAGGAAAATTTCAGCACCTGTGATGAATATCTCAGAAGTTACGAGTGACTGAAAATTGGTAGGGAAAGGTGATTAGAATGGAAACAGGTTTGCGACCTCAATTACAACAGCACTAGTAAATGCTCACGAAGACAAAATATTGTTGCTGGTAGAACAAATCCATTTTTCTTTAAACTCAGCCCCCGAATTCTCCTTTGGCTAATTGTGGCAGCGCAGCCAACAGATTGACTCATGCTGGGCTGTATTAACAACGTGCAGTTCTGGGGTGTATTAACAGGAGGGTTGTACATAAGACATGGGAGGTAATTGTTCCGCTCTACTCAGCACTTGTGGGGCCTCAACTGGAGTATTATGTCCAGTCTGGGGCACTGCACTTTCAGAAAGATTGGAGAGAATCCAGAGGAGAGCAACAAAAAAGATCAGAGGTTTAGAAAACATGACGCATGAGGAAATGTTGAAAGAATTGGGCATGTTTAGTCTAGAGAAGAGATGGCTGAGGGGGGACTTGCTAAGAGTCTTCAAATACGTAAAAGATTATTATAAGGAGGATGGTGATCAATTGGTCTCCAAGCTTTCCAGAGGTAGGACAAGAAATAATAGACACAGTCTGCAGCAAGGGAGAGTTCGGTTGTCTATTAGGATAAACTTTCTAATTCTAATGATAGTTAAGCGCTGAAATAGGTTACCAGTGGAGGTTGTGGAATCCCCAAACACCTATCGGGATGGTCTAGGTTTACTTATTCCTGCCTCAGCATGCAGGGATGGACTAGACTAGATGACCTCTTCAGGTTCCTTCTAGCTCCTTATGATTCTATGCTGCCGAAAATATTTCAATGTATTTGTCTTGAAAGTTTAAATTAATTGCATCCAGTGAACTCTTGTCTGTTTTCTTTTATCGTCTGGTATAAAAACAGAGCAGACTATGACTCAAGTGGAGAAACCTTAGGAAGAAAAGACCCTGAAGCCAGAACTGTCACAGCTGATCGGGAGTAATTCTATATCAGTGAAAGAGTTGGTTGGGACACTCGGACAGCTCGCTTCCCAGACGGAGAGGAAAGATGGAGAAAACGAATTCTCATTCTGTAAAGGTGCAACGTTGCAACTCGTTTGAAAAGGGTAATCGGATGGCCATTCCTTCCTCTTTCTTTCTGGGGACATGGGGAGTAAAGCGTGTTGTAAAGGATTAGACCCTGAGCGTCTGGGAAGGTTTGAACAGCCGATTTTTCAGAGGAAGCAGGAGCCAGCCAGAGGTGGCATAGAACATACGTATTTTTAACACATGCTAAGCTAGTTGAGTCAAAGCCTAAACTTCCCTGTAGGCTTCAGCTCCATCATCTTAGCATGTGTTAAAGTGCAAATTCTTGTCTTTCCTTGATTAGAACTTTAGGAGATGGTTAGCTAGCTCAGTCTAACTGGCATGGCCTGACGTCACACCTCGAAATCCTAATCTAGACAGGGCCACGGAGTTAGGAGGGGTCTGCTATTTTGGGTCAGATCCATAGATGGTGTAAATTAGCATAGCTGCATTGAAGGTATAGAGCTACACCGATTTTGTGGGGCTGGGCCATATTTTCTTCTCTTATTAAACAAAAGCCAGTTGTTGCCAAGATACTCCAAGCAACAGCCCTTGAAACTTAACCTAGGCAGAAACACCAGGAACACCTGAATAGCCAGACTTATCTTCTAATGCAGGGGTCGGCAATCTTCGGCACGTGGCCCATCAGGGTAATCCGCTGGCGGGCCATGAGACATTTTGTTTACGTTGACCATCCGCAGGCATGGCTCCCTGCAGCTCCCAATGGCTGCGGTTCGCCATTCCTGGCCAATGGGAGCTGCGGGAAGCGGTGCAGGATTACCCTGATGGGCTGCTTGTCGAAGGCTGCCGACCCCTGTTCTGATAATATGACCCATATAGCGAAACATCTCTTGATCCAGGACAGCTCAACTGCTGATATTATGGAGGCATTTGATAGGCAATTCCAAAGCTTAAGGTTATAGCCCATTTATAAGCCTGAGGCCTTGTCTACATGTGGTGGCTGCTATCTTGGCCAACACTCCGGCGTTTGAACCAAGGATCTGCAGAGCTGAAAGCACAAACGGCTACGCTTGTGCTAAACTTCTAGATCTAGCGCCTGTAACAGACCTGTAAAAGAAGACTGAGAGGGGACCTGATAACAGTCTTCAGATATGTTCTAAAGAAGACTGTGATAAATTGTCCTCCATGGCCACCGAAGGCAGGACAAGAAGTAATGGGCCTAATCTGCAGCAAGGAAGATTTAGGTTCGATGTGAGGAAAAACTTTCCAACTCTAGGGTAGTTATGTTTATGGAGGCTAGGTCCATCAATGGCTATTAGCCAGGGTGGGCAGGGATGGTGTCCCTAGCCACTGTTTGCCAGAAGCTGGGAATGGGCGACAGGGGATGGATCACTTGATGATTCCCTGTTCTGTTCATTCCCTCTGGGGCACCTGGCACTGGCCACTGTGGGAAGACAGGCTACTGGGCTAGATGGACCTTTGGTCTGACCCAGTGTGGCCATTCTTATGTTCTGGAATAGACTTCCAAGGCAATCCCTATTGTTGGAGGTTTTTAAGAACAGATCGGACAAACACCTATCAGGGATGGTCTAGGTTTACTTGGTCCTGCCTCAGCGCAGGGGGCTGGACTTGATGACTTCTTGAGATTCCTTCCAGCCCAACATTTCTATGATTCTAAGAACTGAGATACTCTGAAACTGAAATAAAAGCAGTCACACCACCTTTTGTGTTAGTTTTGCTGTACTGGTTCAAAACACACAGCTGAGTGAAATTGGCGCAATTCTGCAGCCTTCTTTTAACCCAGTAAATCTGGTAGAGAATAGAGTATATGGTCCAGGTTGAAGGAAGCCTTATCATGCCTTTCGTTTTTGGTCTGAAGGCCCCAATCCTGCTAACACTTTAATGCTTAATTTTCAGCAGATTAGTAGTGATTTAGGCTTCAGTATCAGCTATTTGTGCCCACTGCTTTGAACATAGATCCCTGGTTTGTACTTCTAGCTGCCTATAATAATAAAAATGTAAGTATGTATTATAGGGCCTAGACTCAGCCCCCAGTCATGATCAGAACCCCATTGTGCCGGGCGCCGCACAGACACCCAGCGAGAGACCGTCCCTGCCCCAGCTGAGATCAGGGCCCCGTTGTGCCGGGCGCCGCCCAGACACCCAGTAAGAGATAGTCCCTGACCCAAGTGAAATCAGGGCCCTATTGCACCAGCTTCTGCACAGACACGCCGTCCCTGCCCCAAAGAACTCACAGTCTGAACAGACGAGGGTAGAAGAAAGAGAGGATTATAATCCCTATTTTACAGATGGGGAGCGAAATCTCAAAGAGTAAGTGACTTATCCAAGGACACACAGGGACTCAGTAGTAAACCTGGGAATTGTATCCAGTGTCCCGAGTCCCATTCTCGTGCCTTAACCACATGTAATTTAGTAGCTGGAAACAAGGAAGAGGAGCCAGTGCTATGTGACCAAGCAGCTCTCTGCAGACAACCAGCAAGGGCTGTCAGACCAAAGTCGGACAACCACTTGACGAAGGGATCCTGAAAGATGTCTGAAATCAACCAGACCCTGCTTTAGCCAGTGGAGATGGCAAGAGGTTGGCAGCTATCAAGATTAGATCAAAAATAAATATTGTCAAGTGGAAGCCTGTCTAGATCTTTAACTTCTCATTCCCCTTTTAAAAACAGGTGGGGGATGTTGTACGGTAACTTTAGCTGAAAACTAAAGCAGCTTGTTTTGGGCAAGTCTGAGGCATGGCTAGCCCCATTGAATACTTGGATACTAATGGCTTTTTCTCTTTCAGAGGGTAAATCTGCACGTATCAGATTTTTTAGATGGAGGATTAGAGTTGTAGTTGAAGTTCTCGTCATAGCTGTATTTCTCATTTCTTTGGTAGGTGAGTAAACAAAATGGAATTTCCATGAGAAATGTTGAGTGTTTAGAATTTTTCTTCTCTCCAGTCAGACTGGTGCAATAGCCCGGTGGGTAGAGTGCCAGGCTTAACTTCTAGCTCTGCCTGATTCTGAGCAAAGACTTGAACCCGGGTTTCCCACCTCCCAGATCAGTGCCTGTAGAAGCAAGGCATGGCCTTACAGGCATCTTGTCTCGGTTTCTCGTCTCTCAGGACCCCTTGAGAACTCCACGCAGAGTCCAAAAGAGGATGAGGCAAAATTTCCCTGCTGCTGTTCTACTTTATTACATCCAAAGAAACTTGAAATAAAGTCTCTCCCCTTGGGTTCAGGGGATTGTACAGCCCTCGTTCTTGGGGTTTGTTTCCCGTTCTGGGCTGGATTCTTTAAGAGAGTCTCTTCTACTTTATTACATCCAAAGAAACTTGAAATAAAGTCTCTCCCCTTGGGTTCAGGGGATTGTACAGCCCTCGTTCTTGGGGTTTGTTTCCCGTTCTGGGCTGGATTCTTTAAGAGAGCCCTCGATGGCTTTTTATCAGGCCTAGGTGCTTGTTAGTCCATTAACTGCCTAGATAGGCTCATTCCCTTTAATTTAGCTCACCTGTAGCCTGGGCCCAGACTCCCTTTAAAAGGGGCCAGCAACCACTTGAAAGTGCCCTAACCAATTGGCTACTCTGGGGTGTCTCTGTCTCTTGTTTTAATCAGAAATTACTCCCTGGACCCAAGAAACCTTCCCAAGAAAACCGACCGGCTTCGGTGAAAAGTTTCAGTTTTTACAAATTGGTATTTTCCAATTGAAGAAGCGTTTTGTCAAATAATTCCCGACCGGCTCCAGTTATCTCCCAGAAACCGAGCATAGGTCTTCTGATCTAACTTCTGATCTTTCCTATCACATACCCTCCAGCCAGCAGCCAGACACTGAAGAGTCTTTGAAGCCTAAATCTGGGGCGACTTATTTTGATTCGTGACTCTGAACAGAGAAGTGGGGCAGGAGAGAATCAGTTTCTTTCTTTGTCCTTTCCAGTGATGGCATTTAAAACCCAGCAGTCATGTCCACTCCCCATCGCTGCCTCGTGTTCAATCTGCTGTTCCATCCCCTCGTGTGAGGACGGCTGGGTCGGATACCAAGGGAAATGCTACTATTTCTCAGAGGCCGAAGGGAACTGGACCTACAGCAAGAATAACTGCTCTTCACTTGGTGCCTCCCTGGCTGTGATTGACACCCGGCAGGACCTGGTAAGGAAGAAACTGATTTCTTGTTCTGTATGGCAATCTCAATAGACTGGGATTGCAGTGATAGTGACTGACTCATTCCAGGGTTCTAGGTTTGGAATGCTAGTGACTGATTAATTCTGGGGTTCCAGAATTGGAATGCTAGTGACGGACTCATTCCGGGGTTCTGGGTTTGGAATGCTCGTGACGGACACATTCCGGGGTTCCAGCCGTGAAGCTCATAGCAGCCTCTGGTCCCTGTAATGGTAAAGATGCTAAATAGCATGGACATTTCAGCAGCTCGACTCACAACTGGCATCTGTGTCGTCATGGCTGAGATCTCAAAGTGTAAGTTGAAAGGCAGTTCTCATTATAAGCCTATTGCCAAGATTTTCCAAAGTGACGACTAATTTTTGGTTGCCCAATATCAGGTGGCTTCAGAGGGCCTGATTTGGAGAAATTGCTAAACTCCTGCCCTCTAAAAATCAGAGCCCTTTAAGGCTTCTCACGATGGGCACCCAAAAATCACTCGGTACATTTGAAAATCTTGATCTCTGTGGGGTCTCAGTTCCTACTCTGTAAAATGGGGCTGATAATCCTCACCATTGTCTGTCTTGTCTGTGAGCTCTTGGGGTGGCCGCTGTCTCTCAGGATAAGGACATAAAACAGAAAGGGTTATTGAGTCCAGGACCTGCTTTCACAGGCAACCCAGTTTGTTAATAAACTTATCAAGCTCCATCTTCAAGTTTGTTAGGTGTTTGCCCTTGCCTGCTCCTATTGGTCAGCTGTTCCAGAGCCTCCCTCCCTTGATGGGTAGCAACTTCCAATTTCCAGCCTGAATTTATTCATGGCCAGTTTGTCCCCATTTGTTCTTGTGCCAACATTTGCTTTGAGCTTCAGTGGCTTTTTCTCCTTCCCGGGTGTTTTATCCTGTGATGTATTTATAGGGAGCAATCAGATCCACTCTCAGGCCTGCTAAACAAGCCAGGTTGTTCCAGTTTCCTCTCCTATGTGCATGTACATAATAATCTACACAGCCACTCCTTCCCTTGGTGGGCAGTAGCTAAACTGAGCAAGGACTGCTGCTGGGCAGAAAAGTGGTGGCTGCCACAAAGAGTTTTTAAGAGGAACTCCATCTATGCGTGTTATTGGATCCTGCATGGTAGTCATTGCCACTTATTCCCTACAAAAAGCATTTTGGCTTCCTGTCGCAAGTTGATCCAAAGTGGTCTATTTTATCTGAAAAACTCTGTTATTATTTATTAGTATCTAGAGGTCCCCCACAGAGATCAGGGCCCCGTTGTGCCGGGCGCTGCCCAGACACACAGCGAGAGACAGTCCCTGCCCCAGCTGAGATCAGGGCCCCGTTGGGCCGGGTGCTGCCCGGCCACACAGCGAGAGACAGTCTCTGCTGCAAAGATCTTATAATCCAAATACCTCCTTGGGATGAATGCTCATGACTAATTGATTTTGCAAAGCACATATACTAGAGCAGGTCAAAAATTGTCAAACAGAACAGTCGGGAAATGTTTTGCTAGAATTTGTCAATTTAAACAGTTTTTGATGGAAAATTATCAGAATGAATCAGTTTGATAAGGCTGACATGAAACAGTCCTATTTTCCCAAAATGAAATATTTCATTCCATGAAGAATTTCGAACTTTCAACCTTTTGTCCTGACTCGGGACAAAACTAAAATTCAGAGTTTCCCGCGGGATGGCAATTCCATTTTCCCCTGCTCTAAAATATATACATACCGTTGTTGTCAAACACGCATAGTCCACTAAGGACCGTTGCGCCAGTCTGAGTGCCTGTGGCAGCTGGCGTTGCACCAGGTGTTGTGTGATGAAGTTCCCAGCTCTTGTTCAGTCCCGCGATCCCACAGCGCTCTGGGGTGGGCCTGGATGTGGTGCCAGCAAGGGTCAGGAAACAGTCCCCTTTGCACGTTGCTGGAGAGTTTGAGAGCACGATGCGCCGGGTTACTTTTGTCCATCCTGGTGACATGGCTGAAGAGCCTGCAACACTACTTGGAATAAAATGAGCGATTGAAGGAAGGCCGGATCTTTGCGACGTTGTGACATTTCCCCCAAAACCAAACCACCTTATGCTCTGGAACGGGGCTGTATAGAGTGATGGAACGATAGTCTTCTTCGACAAGAGTGGGGTGGAATGATGCTGTGTGCAGTCACTGAAGGCCGTTGTACATAACGAGCTTCCTCTTTGCTTCTTTATCGCCCTAAGGATTTCGTGCTGCGATATAAAGGCACCACAGATCCGTGGATTGGTCTCCAGAGGGGCTCCGATCATCACTGGAAATGGGAAAACGGCACCAAATTCAACAACCTGTGAGTTTCTTTGCTCAGCTGGAACATTGTGTCAGGCTGTGCTGTGTTTAAAGCTGGAACTCAGGAGGTCTGGTTTCCATGTCTGGCTTTGCCATGGGCTGTGTGTGTGGTCGGGGCCTGCATGGTACAATAATGCTTTGGCCAAATTGCTGGGTGGCTGGGTGTCTCAACCCCGCCAGTGATGCAACCAACTCTCCTGGGTGGGGGAAAATGGAGGTCAAGTGACCCAATCAGGTGATAAGGGTGAGGCTTTGGGTGAATCAGAGGCTGAGCTGCTGGAAAAAAAGCACTCCACCAGCATCTGGTCCCTGGAAAGAGGGCAGTGAAACCCTGGTCTAAAGGGAAGTATGTTTGCAGGCTGGAGAGGCCGACTTGAACCACCCAGTCCCAGGAAGCAGGGCTGTGGAAACCCTGAACCTAGAGTGGTGGGTGAAAGGAGGCTGACTTTGGGAGCCAGACTATGTTCAATACATTAGACCCCAAGAAGACGGCGATATGGTTTTAAAGACTTTTGTGCTGAGCGGCTGATTTCTAGGAACCTCGGAGGGAAACTGAGTCAGGGTCATGAGGGGTGTGTACAAGCCACATCTTGCTGTTCTTTCCAGGTTTGAAGTCAGAGGAGATGCAAACTGCGCATTTCTGATGGAGACTGCTGTCAGCTCTTCAAGGTGTTACACCATGAGAAGCTGGATCTGCAACAAACCGTATGCATAATAGATGAAGGGAAAGTAACACGGACATACAGTGGGGCTGCCAGAAATGAAGGACTTAAATCACAGTTAGACTCTGAAAACTGAGAGCAAAAAACTTCACCTTAGGAGTACTGATTTATTATCTTTTGGTGTCTCCAGATCAGATGGGTTCATTTTACAAGTAAACAGATGCTGCTGGGGTTCCTCCCCACCCCCACCCCCTCGTTAGCAGCCAGCATCACAAGCTTGCCTCTGGGATCTGAGAGTCAAGCTGGGGTCTCAATTTCATACAGCATCTCCAGGGATAAAAGTTCTGTGGGGCACAGCTGCTGCCCTTTGTGGACGCCCATGTTGTTCCTTTATCCCTTTCCCATCCTGCCCTCCGTGACCGCCATGTGGCCCCCTGTCCCCTTCCCGTGCTGCCCCTCTGACCCACACAGCCCCCGTCCCCTCCCTATCCTGCCCTCGATGACTCTCGCACCATCCCTCCCTCACCTTATCCAGCCCTTTACTGACCCTTTACTTCCATGGGAGCTACAGTTGTTTGGCACTTCTGGAAACTGGACACCTAAAGAATTGTCCTAATTTTAGGCACCTACATTCCAAGACTTTGGCTTTACCCTCGCCATGCCTCAGTTTCCCTCAGTCGGAGGATACTGCCTGCTGATTCAAGCACCTTGGTGCTATCAGACTGAGGCGTGTGGTGCCTCTTAGCCCTGGGCTGCTTCTAGGTCACGTGGCTTTTGTTTCTTCTTTATATTCTCCTTCCAGCATAGGTACATTGTCACTGTTGATATGGGCTTGGAGGAAGGTAAATCCTAGATACAGGTTTAGTTCTATTATCAGCGAAGCTTCAGCCATCCATAGAGCAATTTCCCAGAGTGCTGGAGGTCACAGACTCTTTCGCTCCGTGGAGTATTGAGTCAGCACGAAGCTCCAGCCGTTCGTAGCCAAATCCCCATAGAACAGTTGTCTTCATTGCAAGGCCCGGGAGCCAGTGGCTGCTCCCATTGACCCTAAAGTGCGGCTCCCTAAGTTCCCTCTAAGAGCGAGGGCCCTGTCCCATGGAGCTTCCTGCTGCCTGCCAGCAGGGGGACAAAGAGGCCCCTTCCCCGGAGCTAGCTGCTGCCCGCAGGGAGAGGGCTGGGGGAAGTCCTCTGGCCCCATCCCCTGGGCAGCCTGCCTGCGCCCCAAACTCCTCATTCCCGGCCCCACCTCAGAGCCTGCACCCCCCTGCCAGGCCCTCACCCCCTCTGCATCCCAATGCTCTGCCCCAGCCCTGACCCCTACTGCACCCTGAATCCCTCATCCCAGCCCCGCCCTGCAGCTCTCACCACTGAATCCTACACATTGGCTCTCACATTTGAAGGCTTTTTGCCAAAGTGGCCCCCACTTCAAAAACACTGAAGAGCACTTCCATAGGAGTTTGTGAATTTAAGAACTAGACACTGCAAGGAAGCCCCTTAAAGAGCAAACTTGAGCAAGTCATTTTGCCGCCCTCTGCCTCAGTTTCCCCATCTGTAAAATAAGGATAGCGATGCTGACCTCCTTTGTAAAGTGCTGTGAGCTATACTGATGAGAAGCAGAGGGTGATTATGACATTACTGATGCATTTTTTTAAATACTTTATTGGACGGAGGGCCCAGTGCGGTCTCTGTTGCTTCATTCCATGTCAGCTCACACTTACAGTCCAGTTTCCCTGTTCACAGGATCTTGGACTAAACCACAAACAATCATTTTGCTTCCTTCTGAACTTTTATCCGCATTTTAAGGTATTTTTATAGGCCTGGATTTCAGCTGTATGGTTTGCAAGGTTTGGGGTTTTTCTACTGTTTAATAAAATGTAATAAATACATTTGAGTATTTTATTTATGTACATTATGCATAGGAGATGTGTATTGTCAAGGGATGATAGTTTCATGGGTATTGTAGACTGATGGATAGAGCCCTGCACAGATACAAATTTCTATCTGCGGATGTGGATATCCGCGGATAGAAATGTGTATCCACACAGAACTCTACTGAAGGACAGCCAGTAAGCAATTGTCCTTCCACTAGCAAATACACAAAACCAGCTTTCCACTGCCCCACATCATAGTCAAACTCCTGACTAGAGCTAGGTGAAATTTTTTATATGAATTTTTTTTCAGCAAACAAATGCAGATTCGCTGACGGTGAAACATGTCCCACATTCAGGCTGGTTTCACTGAATTGTTTTGGGCAGAAAAAACTCTAAACAAAACAAATCTAAATTTCAGGAAAGATATGGACAAATTGGAGAGAGTCCAGCGAAGAGCAACAAGGATGATTAGGGATCTGGAAAACATGACCTATGAGGGAAGATGAAAAAAATTGGCTTTGTTTAGTCGGGAGAAGAGAAGACTGAGAGGGGACATGATAACAGTTTTCAAATGCCTAAAAGGTTGTTACAAGGAGGAGGGAGAACAATTGTTCTCCTTAACCTCTGTGGATAGGACAAGAAGCAATGGGCTTAAATTGCAGCAAGGGTGGTTTAGGTTGGTGATCAGGAAAAACTTCCTAGCTGTCAGGCTGGTTAGGCACTGGAATAAATTGCCTAGGGAGGTTGTGGAATCTCCATCATTGGATATCTTTAAGGGCAGGTTAGACAAACGCCTGTCAGGGATAGTCTAGATGGTGCTTGGTTCTGCCATGAGTGCAGGGGACTGGGCTTGATGACCTCTCAAGGTCCCTTCCAGTTCTATGATTCTGTGATAAATGTTTCGTTTCCACATTTTTGAAATGAAGCATTTTGATATTTTCAGTGAAATATGTTTTCCTATAATGGGGGAACTGTGATGGTTTTACTTGGGGGGTGGTGGTGGGTGGGAAGGGGGTGTGTGCGCACCTATATATGCTCCGTGAAATGTTTTTTATCTTGGTTATTCATTAAGGCAGTAATGGCTGAGCAGAAGCATATTACCCCACTGCCCTAAGTATTACACCTTGCTCGTTTCTGTGATCTCTGAGCCCCAGCAATTCCAGGCTATGAGCCCATAAAAAAAATTGAATCAAAAGTGTGAGCAGAAGTGTTGTCATCAATGTAGGGTTCAGAGTGAAATCCGAGTCCCACTGAGCTCAATGAGACTTTCGCTGTTAATGTCAAGGGGGCCAGAATTTCACCTTCTGTTTATATACTCTTTGGGGTATGGACCATCTTTGTGTGCTGTGTTTGTACAGCCCCTAGCACAGTGGGGTCCTAGTCCATGACAGAGGCATTACTACAGTACTACTAGTACTGAAAAAGAGTGATCATATGGACCTTTAGATCAATACAATAATCAAGAACAAAGCAGGATTGCATTCACAAGAGTCTGTTAGCCACTATAGCCAATCCCAAGTGTTCACAAATCAGGAGTCAGAACAGTCCTGAAAATCACGTGTGTGATTTTAAAACCATGAGACTTAAAAAAAAAAAAAAAAAAAAATTCTTTTTATTTGACTTCTGGTTTTTGAGCCTACAGGGGCCCCTGTTTTCAAGTGTTATGTCACAATCACAGGGGCTAGAGTAGTGGTGAGCAACCTGCAGCCCGCAGGCCACATGTGACTGTGATGAAGTGGGACTGTTCTTAATGTTTCCTCTGAATAGTGTGGGGGTGCCTCAGTTTCCCCTATGCAGTTCTTAAGTATCTAGGGGGTGGAGTAAGGGTGTATGATCATTGCAGAGCCCTAGAGGGCAGGTGTGTGCAGGAGTCTGGACACAGAGAATGGCCGACACCCTGTTTCCTGGCAACTGATGGCCTGGGCCCTTCCCCCCCTGCAAGGTGAGAGCTCAAGGGTTGGAGAACAAAGGAATCAGGTGACCACCTGGCCCGGGAAAGGAACAAAGCCCAGAGGAGGAGGGGCTGGAGGGGGTTTTTCAGTTTGGGGCTGGCTGGGACATGGAGTGAAGTGCAGACGGGGTTGTCTGGCTCACTGCCCCCCCAAAATGGACCCAGCTGAGGGGTCCCGTTCTCTGCACCTGCAAGCTCTGTTTTAGACCATGTTCCTGTCGTCTAATAAACCTCTGTTTTACTGGCTGGCTGAGAGTCACGTCTGACTGCAAAGTTGGGGTGCAGGACCCTCTGGCTTCCCCAGGAGCCCCGCCTGAGCGGACTCGCTGCGGGGAAGCGCACGGAGGGGCAGAGGATGCTGAATGCTCCGAGGTCAGACCCAGGAAGGTGGAAGCTGTGTGAGCTGTGTGTCCTGAAGACAGGCTGCTCACAGAAAGGCGACTGCCCCAGAGTCCTGACTGGCTTCATGGGGAGCAGTTCCAGAGCATCGCCCAGGGACTCCGTGACAGTGACCCGTCAGGGTAATCTGCTGGCGGTCTGCGAGACATTTTGCTGATGTTGCCCATCCGCAGGCACCTCCCGCTGCAGCTTCTAGTGGCTGCAGTTCTCTGTTCCCGGGCAATGGGAGCTGTGGGAAACGGTGCCTGCGGATGGTCAACGTCAACAAAATTTCTCATGGCCTGCCAGCATATTACCCTGATGGGCCATGTGCAGCCTGTGGGCCGCAGGTTGCCCTCCACTGGGTTAGAGACTTGCTTTTATTTTAATTCAAGCTGAGATCATCCTATAATCACATGAGTCCAGGAGCTGGGGCTTTAGGAAACAGGCTGTCACAGGGCATGGCTGCCCCATCATGCTCCCTTCTGGTGGAGTGTGCCTCTGCAGGAGAAACCTGCCTCAGAGTCAGTTTCCACCTCTGAGGCAAGTCTTCTTGGCCTTCTGCACAGGGGTCTGTGTTGGTGATTTCACTCTGTCTTGCAGCAAAGTCACTACACATATTTAACCCCTCCCTTGGTAACAAAAGTTCAAGCCAACAAAAGGTTCTTCTGCTCCTTTTGGGCTCCTCTTTAGCCCACCTTCTGGGCTCAATTCTCAATCCTCTTTGGGCTACCTTTAGGTGCTTCCTTGCTCTGTTACAGAGCATTGACTCCCTGGTTGCTTTCCCTGGAGTCCCTCTCAGTCTACCACTCACTGGAGTTTCCCCCAGAAAATGCTGATTTGACAAAACTTAAAATGTTTTGCTGGAGTCTGACCTCCTATATAATACAAGCCGTTAAATTTCTCCAGCCCAATTACTTGTCTTTGACCAACATACATCTTCCAGAAGGGCAGCCAGTCAAGGCATCAAAAGATGGAGAATCCAACACTTCCTTTGGTCGTTTGTTCCAATGGTTAATCACGCTCACTGTTAAGAATGTCACAAAGGATCATCCCAGATCTCCTGAATCCCACCCTACAAGACCAGCTTCCCTCTAGAAGAAAGCCCCAAACAATTTCCTCCACTTATATTTGGAAATAACTTTTCTCCTCCCTTTTCAAAACTACGTGGTGATCAAGCCATGGGTTTAAAATGTATAACTCCAACTCATAAAACTCATCACTGCCCACTTATTAAAATACAAAGCTTTCATTTTTTCCAAGCAGGGACCACCAGGTTTATAGCAGGATGGCTCCCATCTGACACATCCACTTGAATTCAGAGTTGCAAGATTCAGAATTAATCCGATTCCTTCTGATCATCCCACAGCTGTTTCCTTCAGCAGAGCCAGTTACCGGGAACCTGCAAAAGATCTGTGATTTAAAATGTGATTTATTACTATCGATATGAGAAGATTTCAGGAGCATCACCTGTTTGTCACTCTGAAGTCTAAAATGTCTGTGGAGTCAGTGTGAAGCGATGGAATGAGCTACAAGCATGGTTGAGGGTTTCTTTTGTTCAGAATATTGCCATGTTCAGTCACTAAATATCTTACAACTGATTGTGTCAAGATTATGGCTCCAAATGTGGCTGCAATTAGTGCTGGGTGAATAATGATTTTCCGGTTTGTTGGCAATTTAGTCCACACACAAAAAATTTGTTTCTTGCTGGACTGAAACCAAAACTTGCTGAGATTTTTGGCGAAACATAAAATAAAATTTAAAAAAGTCAGTTGGGATCAACGCATTTTGACAAAATCGAAATGTTCTGTTTCGATTTTGACCATTTTAAGACTTTTTTTCAATTTTAAAAACATAAAGTTAAAGAAAATTTTTAAATGAAAAGTAATTTCAAACCGAAAAATTGATATATTTTGTTTTCATAGGTACCACAGGCAGAAAGTACCATTGTCATTATTTAGTCTGACCTCCAGTATAACACAGGGCAGAGACCAGCTCCAGAGTAATTCCTAGAGCAGATTTTTTAGAAAAGCATCCAATCTTCATTTAAAAATTTCCAGTGATGGTGAATCCACCAAGATCCTTGGTAAATTGTTCCAATGGTTAATTACTCTCACTGTTAAAAATTTACACCTTATTTCCAGTCTGAATTTGTCTAGGTTCAGCTTCAAACCACAGGATCATGTTATACCTCTCTCTGCTAGATTGAAGATCCCATTATTAAATATTTGTTCCCCATGTAGATACTTATAGACAGTAATCAAATCACCCCTTAACCTTCTCTTTGTTAAGCTAAATAGATTGAGCTCTTTGAGTCTAGTACTGTAAGGCATGTATTCTAATAATGTAATCATTCTTGTGGCTCTTCTCTGCACCCTCTCCAATTTATCAACATCCTACTTGAATTGTGGACACCAAAACTGGATACAGGATTCCAGCCACTGTCGCACAGTGCCAAATACAGAGGTAAAATAACCTCTCTGCTCCTACTTGAGATCCCCGTTTATGCATCCCAGCATCGCTTTAACTCTTTTGGCCACAGCGTCAAGCTCATATTCAGCTGATTATCCACCACAACCCCCAAATCTTTTTCAGAGTCCCTGTTTCCCAGGATAGAGTCCCCCATCCTGTAAGTAGGGCCTGCGTTCTTTGTTCCTAGATGTCTACATTTACATTTAGCCATACT